GGGGGGGGGTGGAGAAGGAGCAGAAACAGTATCTGACTCACATTGAGCTGGGGGGGCTTCTCCAAACACAAAGGACCCTCAAGTGAAGATGTCAAGATGGAACTCCCAGTAAATATCTAAAAAAAAAAAAATCATGTGCGAGAGCCACTTCACAGTGACATCCTGACAGACAGGCATCTCTATGGAAACAGCCCCCCACGGCTCTGTTTGGGCTGCCCCTCCACTAGATGGTGCTATAACCTGGGGCAGTACACGTGCTGCGTGTTTATACACTGACATCCTCACTGCTCACGTCCACTGTCCTTCACCGTGACTCACCCCCCCAAAAAGCTTCAGGGTGACAGCTCATTTTTATTCAGAGTGACCAGCATGCCCCAGGGGGCCCTGAGCAGACAAGGGGAACCAGGATTGGGAGGGGGGGGGGGGCGGGCAACCTGCACTGCACCCCCACCTAGTTAACAACCGAAGTGTTTAATGACACTCTATTAAAGGTAGAGGTAAATTATGCATGTTTAACATCATTACCCACACAGTGGAGATAATTGGCCGAATGTGGAGGGTCACGGAGCCTGGCAGTGCCCCTGGTGGACAGAGAGCGAGGGTGACGGCACCACAGGCGGCTCACTGGTTGCGTGTACCAGTACGGGCTGACCGCCAGTCACCCAGCCAGCACCGCAGTGTCCCAGCAAACACAAACACCACAGCTTCAGATGGGAGAGGGAGACACGACCAAAGAACATTCCGGAAAGGGGGGGGGGCAATCAGAACAGAACTAATGTGTACGAAATCCAAATCATCAGCAGCTGGCATGAGTCACAGCATAGAGAGGATTCTGGGATACGGAGGCATGTCTGTGCTTGGAGTAGGAAGCGACGGGGATGTGCATACACACCATATGTAAATGAGGAATCTGCTCACATCCAAAGCCCCCCCCCCCAAAGCCTGGCGCTCTCCCACAACAGCTGATGTCTCCCTCTCACAGGAGGGGGGGGGGGGCAGCTCAGCAAACGAAGAACGCCGCCGCCATAGCCGGGAAACATGCCCGTCCGCTCGTCTTGGCCACTCATTAGTGTGAGGGACGGCATGAGGCAGGAAATGCAAGCCGCACCCCCCCGAGGACACATGGCCCCCGAACACCTTGTATCTTAATTAAATCGCCGCCACATTTCTTTTCAGGGCTTGTCTAGTGAGTTCTTCCCCGACGTAAACAGCGTGCATTTACCTTTCCGGCAATAGTACCCAGGCAGGCCAACGATACCTTTACAGAGGCTAAGCATGACGTTAGCGTGAAGCTAACGCAAACACTCTCACTTTAAGCATGCATGTGCCTCGTTTGGTGTCAGGATCATGGCACTCAGTGGTCTTGGCCATGAACTGAGAATGGGAATGAGGCCTAGTGTAGAGGAGCCTGCCACCTAGTGGGGGCCGAATGGGAGTGAAGTGACTGACAATTGGTTGTTACCTCCTCCTCAAGCTATGGGCAGATGACTAGAGAAGCAACAGCCCTACGAAAACAATAAGTAAAGGAACGGCTTCTGGTGGCACCCACCCCCCCCAAACCCCCGAGGCCCCTGGCCTTGCTGTCTGAGCCCATCCCGCCCCTCGGACCCCAGCTGTCAAAGTTTTGAGGTCTTAATCAATCTTAGCCCTGACCCTGTCTGACAGGGGAAGATGGATGAGGAAGGGGAAGACCTCTGACCTCCTCTGCTGTCCTTCCCATTGCCGTGCCCTCTTCCCCCGCAGGCCCGGACAATAGGGGAGGGGGGCCGCCTATTCAGGCCCTCTGGATGCCCCCCCCGCACCCCCCTGCCCCTGCCGGAGCGCCGCCCCACTGGGCGGACCCCCATTCTACACCCATTGGAGCTAAAGCAGCCGAGAGACCTCAAGCTTCTCCTGCGAGGAGAAAAAACATCAAACAGGCGATGGATGGCCGTCAGCTCCGACACGGAAAACAGCCGGCTGCCCCCCCGCAGGTGCAGGTGACAGAGACAGGAAGCCCTGTCAGTGGGAGCAGAGCGGCAACACGAGCAGCACCACCAGAGGCGGCTGGAGCCAGGAACGAACATCGATGTTAATCTCTGGCGTCCGCCGGCTCAGTCACGTTTAATTACCGCCCTTTCAATCCCATCAGCGATAGCAGCCCCCATTCTGCAAACTCCCGGGAAACCCACCCCCTCGCATCTATGACCACCCCCCATATCTCAGGCCCTCAAAAACTCGGCACACTAAATTACCACCAGCGTCTGTGACACAATGAGCCCCGAGAAGGGCACCCCCGTAAATAACGGGGCCTGTCGTGATGGACTGCACCCCCCCGCCCACCATAAAACCTCAAACTAAGGCCTGGAAGTCCTGCCACCCCCTCCCACCAACCCAAAAAGACCCTTGTTTGTCCTACTATGCCACTATTAAACGTCAAAGGCCATCAAGCAACAGGAGTGCTCCCGCTCCCCTGCATGCTCCTCCCCAGTATGCTCCTCGCCGTGCGCTCCCCTGCGCCCTCCCCAGTGTGCTCCTCGCCGTGCGCTCCCCTGCACCCTCCCCAGTATGCTCCTCGCCGTGCGCTCCCCTACGCCCTCCCCAGTGTGCGCCTCGCCGTGATGGCTCTCTCGTGCATAGGCACCCTGGTAAGTGAAGATGGCAGTTTCCACCGCCAAGCTAATTAGAGCCCGTTGAGCTAACAGACGTACCAGCACGTCACACCACGTTCAAACAACCTGACAGGAGCGACACGGGACTGAGAGCCCTTGTTAGCCCCCGCCATTCGCCCCTCGGCCCTCCCAGAGCTTTCATTAATCCATTCAGCCACATCGACGAGCCACTTTCCGTATGACAATCATGCAAAATAGAAATGTCCAGCACACGTCGTGGCGAGCGGCGGGGCGCAGCAGCGGGGTTAATCTGCGGCCCGGGAATGCCCCCTGGCGCACAAAGAGCATGAGAAAGAGAAAAAAAGAAAGAGAGAGAGAGAGGAGGAAGAGCAGCAGCCTGCACCACCGAAATGGTGAATAGTTCATTTACGGGATGAAAGCGTGGGGGCACCGTTGGCCGCTCAATAGCTTAGCATGGAGGCTAGTAAAAGCTCCCCCCCACCACCAGACACCCCATTCCCCCTTCATCAAACGAGCCTAGCTGCCACCGTGAGGATTAAACAGCCGTTACCACCAGGGCACCATGAGCTGCACTCGGAGGAGCCATTCTGCTCGTCCCAGAGAGATGGCTAATTACACTCATCACCGCTACATCACAAAGAGTGATACGCGTGCAGCGCTGGAGCGAGGGAGGGAGAGAGAGAGATGGAGGGAGAGAGGGACAGCCGGCCGCTGACCAAAATAACAAACCATGAAACGGCACCCCCTTACCCTGACACTCTCCGCTGCGCTCCTCGAACCCAGGGTAACACAGGCAGTTCCCAATGGGCACCAACCACTCGCCGTCCGCCCCACAGTACATCTTGGGCACGTCCTTTTCCTCCGAGTTGTTGACACAGGAGCCACGCACCTCCACCAGCGAGGAGGTGTCGGCCCCCGTGATGGTGTCTGGGAACTGGGCCAGGTTGCGCACAGTCAGAGGGCACTTCTTGTAAAAGACGCGCACAGAGACCAGGGCGATACAGGCGCCCACGTCCTGGAAGGCCAGGTAGAAGCCTTTGCGGGACAGCGCCCCCACGTCGCGCACCTCCGTGTTCAGCTTCATGATGCGGTCGCCGATGTCCACCTGCGTGAAGCTCTCGTCCGCCGCCACCGTGTCGATCTTGCCGAACTGGTTCTCGCGGATGTAGCGCTCCTTGTCGTTATTAGACTCGTAGTAGTAGAGGTTGAAGGTCTCCTTGCAGGTGCCCGTCACCCCCGGCAGGCTGTTGCAGTCCCTCAGCGTGAACTTGATCTCGATGTAGACCCGCTGGGCGCCGCCGCGGGCGATCCAGTCCGTCCGCAGCCAGTTATTCTGGTTCGGCTCCATGACGTTGCACACCTGATAGGTGCGGATGGGCGTGTTCTTCTCATCCATGATGCTGACCTCCTCCCACTGCACAGAAGAATGAGTATGAGATGAACGGGTGACAGACAGAAGGGGGCAGTTGGATCCCTAAATTAGTCTCTGCTTTCTACATATTCTGCATATTGTAAATCTGAATTTAAGCGGCCTCCTGTCTGCATGCATTCACAGAGAAGGATTCTTTTTTTTCCTCTTTTCTCTAATGACCAACGCTGTAAAATATCTCCCCTTTGTTGGGCGTTTTCCGTTTATTCTAACGGCAAGCACCCTTAAAATTTTCACAATGCGCTTTAAAAACTGATGTCAAGTTTACTGCGGGACCATTTTTACCTTTTTGTTTTGAGCGTCTATATTACACTGCATCTTTTAAGTGATTATTTTAAAATTATTCTTTTACTAAATAGCTTGCCTGCTTTTTGTAGTCTGTGAAGCAAGGTTTTAGGGCTTTCTGACTGACAACGTGAGTAAAGCTTACCAGACTGCGGAAAACCGGTAAACACACTTTTTATATCATATGATTTTATATATGAATATTCGAATCTTGCAACAACTTTAAATATATGGAATACCAGAATGGAGGTGTGGATATATTTAGGTTATAAATAATTCGGTATGTGATAATAACCGCAAGCAGCGCTTTTCATTTTCATATTTAATACTCGGGCTTTCGGGAATGCAGGCAACAGTCCTTCCGACCTGCAAACCTCCTATCCAGCCCCGAGGCTGCAGTTACGCGGCGGGCGGTCAAAGCTGCGGCCCGCGGCGTCTTTCTCCCTCCCGGGGTCGCTTCCTTATAGCTCCTAAATTACACCGGGGGCAATAAACCGGGCCTGCGTCTCATTCCTACACAGTTACCTCTGGGATTTTCCGCGCTGCCAAACCCCGCACTAAAGCACCTTTCCATGCGAAAGCCATATAAAGTTTCTCAACAAAAGGCAGATTCAGTTCGCCCTGTATTCGGGAAATCCGACGCCCATTACAGTATCTGCCTCGCATTGAACAATTACCGAGGGAGAGCAGTTTAATCTCTCCCCTCCAGCGTCTTTTGAGGTCCTTTTTTAGGCCCACGGCCCATGGCTTGTACTCACCCCTCCTTCTGTTGGACTTGCAACCCATCCCAGCTCCCCCTGTACTGATCTGGAGTCCAGTAACGTCACTGAAATGGGGAAAAACAAGAAAAATACACGCATCGCCGTTAGTAAACGCCATCGGTGGGAGCCTGGCTCATTGGAAATGGCCATTAAAATAGGACACCCCAGTAACCCTGTGATTGTTCATTAATTGTGCTGTAAAATCACATCATTCGAAGCATCGTCACATGTCCCATGTACTGTTTCCATACATTGAAAAAAACACCCAAAGCCCATTTTCGTTATATTAACGAGTATAGGCCTATTTCCTAAAACTTCAAGAACCTCATATATATATATATATATAAAAATTACTGCTACAACAAAGAATAACTTCAAAACGATGGGCAAATGGAATTACTTCTATAAAAGCAGGAGTGACCAGGGGGGAAAAAAACATAAAATCAAGTAAACGCTGAACTCAGCATCTCCATAATTCTGCAGGCGCGCATTAATTGTGGAAATGAGTCCGGGACTTTTTATGGGGTAAATCAGAATATTGAGAAATAAGGACAGGGGAGAATAAACGGGACCCCCGTGTCCAGATATGTTACTGGAGCGCTGGGACAAAATCCTCCGGTTCTCGCCAGGCGCCGCGTACGACGCAGGTTGCTTGCCGGACGCCACTTTATTTTCCTGCAAATCAAACCTGTCACTGGTGATCGCATTCGATCCTAATTATAAATAAATTGTCTGATGTCTGTAATTTGAAACATTTTAAACGTCGACATTGATTTATCGGTTTCGACAAAATCACATTTAAATTATCTACTTTGCTCAATTACTTAAAACATTTGAAAATCTTGCACAATTAAGTATGCTATATTTAGTATTCTTCGAATAAGCAAAAAAGGAACACTAATATCTAAATAAGCCACGTAACAGTAAAGCCGTTGTGTGTGTATTTTGTAAGCAGAAAATATTCTCGAGTCGCAGTACAGCAATTCGTCGTTTATAGGAATAGAAAAAAATAAAATTCATGGAATATAAATATGTCTAGGTGACGTTAAAATGAAGCGTATATTTCCGCTATCAATGAAAATAACAATAGTTAGGTACAGTGTACTTGGGTTTTGCGATTAAATGTGAACCCCGAAAATAACCCCATTTAAAAAACAAAAATAACCCCCCCCCCCAAAAAAATAAAAAATAAAAATCATATACAAAATGTGTGCTCCGGGTTTTTCGAAGGGGTGAATGTGTTCGACTTGGCTACGATATCAGCTGGCTACTTCTGGGTAATGAAAATAACTTCACGAAAGAAAACTGATTTTATCTCAAAGAAAGTGATGTGGCCGAAGTCTCCGTGCTGCCGCGGCGCTGAACCCCGTCTGAAGAGCGCTGCGGGTCCCCGAAGAGGACGCCGTCCGGAAAGGGGTCTGCGTGTGGGGCTGCGTGTGGCCACGGATCACGCAAAAACGCGGGTTACCGAGTTCCGGCAGATCACTTCCAAGCGAGGGAAGCTCGGTGCTGGGAAAGCCGGCGCGGGCAGCGAAGCCTCCAGCCGGTGGGAAGTAAGATGCGCCGTCCTCCCAAAGCAACTCACCAAAAACTCTGAGAGGCTCCTGCCTTTGTCCGGTTTCTTACCTTCGTTTGGTGGGTAAATCCGTGCCGTAAAACACAGGGTAGAAATCCCAAAGAGCACCGAGGCGGCCGTGTACACCAGTCTAGCCATTTGTGCCACTGGCCGTTTTCCGTCCTTTGGTCCTGTGCGGGTCCGAGCAGCTCCCTCCCTGCGGAATAAGTGTATGAGACTGCAGCGAGGCGCGGTGCTCCGGACACATGAGCGGGGGGCGTTCCCCCAGCCTCTGACGCGCCTGTCAATCCACGCAGGGACAGGAGCACGAGAAACAAGTCAAATAATCATTAACCGCCCAGCTCGCCGATCCGGATCGGCCGTGATAAGCGCGATTCGGCAGCTGATTGCGGGCTTGCAGCTTCTCACCACCTGAACAGCGGGGGCTGCGGCTTTAACGACGACACGTGCTTTCTGTTTACCATATTTACCCAGAATAAACGTGTGAATCTAAGGTGCCACAACAGGGGAACTCATTTTCTCTATTTAATTGCCAGCATAATGAATATGGCAGAATAGTTGTATCTGAGGACGCGCACTGGTTTTCTAATTTTATGGAAGTTATTCGTTTTTAGCCTTATTTTGCTCTACCTTGAAACAGGCCACTGAATAATAGGTCAGCATAAAATGAACGCATTCTTCTTCTTTTTCATTATTATTATTATTATTATTATTATTATAAAGGTTTCGGTGGTGGTTGTGGTGGATTTTGTTATATTGTTCCATTCGTATTTTTCTTTTTTCCAACAATAATATACGCCTAATATTAATAAATATTTGAAAACTAAATGTTTTTGTTTGGTTTGATGCCTGGATTTTTATCACTGGTCTTTACTTATGTATGTATTTGCTAAATAGGTCGCATTTTAAATCCAGTACAGGCCGACGGGTAGCCGAATACTCAGTAACGCCACCGCCACCTAGCGGCACCATTAAGTACAGCCTCGTCCTCTATTCTAACAGCGGGCACGGTCGTGAATGATTAACATTTGTAATGAATTTCTAGCCACGTACCCGTGAAACTTCCTTTACCTGGCGCAATCTCACCGTTTTACTAAACAGCGGGCGTGCCCTACTAGCATTGCATAGTTATGCTCATGAATGTGGAGCCAATTCTTCGAGTTAACACTGGAAACGTGCGCTGCTTGTTTAAAAATAGCTGGAATATATTTTCATCGAAAAATAATGTCAGTACTATTTGTGCCATACATGTATTTTAACATCATTAGTATTTAAAAGGAAACCCATGTTGTAGGTATCTCATACAAACAATAACAACCGCGGTGAACGTGCTTTTGTGCGAAAGTAACATTTTCTGAGTTTTTCGTTTGTGTGTAGGCCCATCAAGCGAAAATTGGGTTTTTTGACGAAGAACCGTAACTAAAAGAGACGTCTTCAGTCTGGAGAATCACAGCTGCGTCTTTTTCTTTTGTCTTCCTGCCAGAACATTTCTTTCTCTCCCTTAACGCACACCTACACAGCTCTCGCTCTTTCCCAAAAGACTTTTGTTCGTCTGTTTAGGTGGCGGCTTCTGCGATCCGGGAGGGTGGATCGTATTGTGCCGGGAGTTCATGATGAGGAGCCCTTAGGAAGCAGCTATATGGATCCCTTCGGGGAACGTCTGCATAGAGACCCGCTCCTCAGCCTCAAAATAGAAGTTAGGTTTAAAAAAGAAAAACTGTTGACTTTTTCACACTTTCACCCTATAGTCCTTCCAACCGCTCGTATCTCGCCAGCCAAGAGATTGCGCGTTATTGGCAAAGCGGAATGCGTTTTTTATATATTTACCTTATTTTTTTAGTAGAGGTGTAAGAAGTTAAGCATAGTATCTGCCAGAATCACTGCGGGGAGGGCTTGGACGTGGGATGAAGATAAAGATAGGAAAGGGAGAATTATTTCTATGGGTAATACTCATATTGAACGTGAAACGCTTTCTAAAAACCTTCGTCAATGATATTTAATTATACGTATTTATAATAATTAAAATGAAAATGATTGCTCATTTGGGTCATAATTAAATGGATGTGTAACTAGCAGTGTAAAATTCCGTACGAAACATTTCCAGGAAGCTACTTCAAACGGTCCTTTCAGAGCAATCTCTCCACATTCCTGCGCTATTCGCTGGTTACAGTTTATGGGACACTTTTTGAAGTTTTTTAGGAACATTTTATTAAGGATATTTTGGTCAAATTGAGATTAATTGGTTGTCACTTTTAAAGTGTTGATCATATTTCTCTCACTATGCAGTAATTGCACGTTTTGGGGCAGCAATTAATAATTATTATACATGCCCGCATTAGGAGGGAGTCAGCACACTGTAAACACGGTAAAGACGGTTATATATAGAGTGATGTGCCTAGCAAATTCATTAGGAGGTGCACAGCACTCGGTTTTCCTGTCCAAGGACAGCAGAGCAGGGCAGCAAAGCCGAAAATCAGCTTTTGATGGGATACAGATGCAGCCGCGACTCACATTTCAGCTGCGTCTGATATACCGATACCCGCAGCGTCTGCCTGGTAATTCGGGTTCCGGTGCCTCCCTGGTCATTCAAAGACTTTCCAGTATGAACCCCATCCGTCGAAATGTGCTAATTACCGGCTGTTAAGATACTTTTTTGATTCACCTCAGCACATACCCGTGTACCGTGACTAAATTGACCTGAATGGTGTATTATTAGGCATTAACCGAACTGACAGAAAATGTTCCCCTTGTCTTTTTTAGACATTATTTATGCGTTGTTTTGGTAATGATAGGACGACTTAAGAGTAATCGTTCAGTGAAGCAAACATCTTCCAGCAGTATCCAGTAACCTGTGCTGGACTGGGATTGTGAATCGGCCCTGGACTATGGAATTTAGCCCTGGTGGGGGGGGGGGGGGGATTTCACCACGATAAATCTTGCCAGCCCACAAACTCATCGGCCCNTGGATTTTTCTGGATGGAGAGTCCAGCTTTTGCCATATGGGGCAGCTGGTCTGGGGCTACGGGTGTCAATCAAATCTAGGCAAAGGGGGGGGGGGGGGGGGGGGGGGGGGGGGGGGATTTCACCACGATAAATCTTGCCAGCCCACAAACTCATCGGCCCATCGGGAAAACGCCCAGTATGCCCTGAAACCCTGAACCTGGGTTGGTTTGGGTTTGATTGTACGCACATTTCCCAACGATTTGGGTGTGTGTGCGGCAGCCGCCATGAGCTGTGTGCGTTTCGTATGGCACCATTGTTCTTTAATGCCGACTGGCGTCGGTGAAAAGGCAGCTTCAGGAAATGGCATTAAACTGAGGAGCAGGTGACGCGTCTTTATCCTGGTCTCCAGGGCGGCGATATAGTGCCTTTGTGACCGTATGGTTGCCCTGCTGCAAGCATCTCGTCTTGAATAATAAGCCCCATGAGAGCATGGGGCATTCTGGGATGGCCGAGTCTCACATTGGTCGCAAAGGCATGAATGGCGGCTTTCGACTTTTTCACAACAGGTCGTGCGACCACAATTCCCAAGGCGGGTGGGGCAGCGGCGCAGAGAAGCCTGGCCAATGGGAAAGAAGCTGGAGCAGTAAAGGCCCCCAGGGGGGAGCCCGCGGTGGGCGGACTGGGGCACGGTCGGCTTCGCCCGCCGTTGTTTTCGCCCATTTGTGTCACGCCGTTTTTGATTGATTGCTCTTGGGTGAGTTCCCATTCACCTCCGAAGGCGTGGGTCCTGAGGTGGAGTTTCCCGAAGAGACGTCCCGTTTTTCTCCGTTTTTGTCCTCGGAGACTCCAGATGGCATCCGCCCACGCATCGGCATTGTCCCCTGCCTCACAGAAGCACTCTGCTCACGTCTACACATCTCCCCACTTGAGTCGGCGGACATTAATTGCTGACTGCCCCAAAAAGCGCTTTGTCTCTTAACTCGGGGGTCCTTCCCAGGCTCAGGTCACCCTCTGCCATTAATTCCGGGCCCAATTCCTGCCCCTCGCCAGGTTGGGTTCCACTTGGGGTAGCGAATGGGCTACAGGCGAACAGCCCCTCATTCCCAGCTTGCCAAGGAGCCTTGGAAGCAGGACCACATGGTGCCAGACCCCCCCAACCTCATGCCCGAGAAAGGGGACAGCTCAAGAGATCGGGGAAAGTGGTCAGTCGTAGAAATTTTCATGGTGACAATTTTCCGTGGATACAGGTATCCCATCTCATAGGTCTGTTCTGCATGTGTCTGGATCTGACTGGAAAGTGTCAGTGCCCTGAGCAGAAACCTGTGCAGCTACTGCAGTACTAGAACCCGCATGTATCAGTGCCCTGAGCAGAAATCTGCACAGTTACAGCTGGACTGCAGCATGTCAGAAGCAGCTGCATTTCAGCCGCTTGGTTGGGAGGAGGACCTGGGTGAGACCATGTGAGGTGGCCTGGGGCATCTGATCTCTGCTCACGATATATATTCTAGCACCAGCTGGTTTTAGGTTGTTTTTGTTCCCCCCTGTTGTTCTCTTCCAAAATGTCAGATGCTCTCACCATGTGGTCAGAGTCCCGCCGGGGCTTCTAGAGAGTTCTAGAAGGGATGGCCTCTTAGAGGTCACCTCAAAAAAGACACCAGGCTGTCGCTGTGTTAACAAGGCCTCCCTCACTTAAGCTAAGCTGTGAGAATCCTGAGCTGGCAGTAAACGGCACTATGAAGGACGTATATGTATAAAACCAGCTTCAGAATGTCAGGTGACACAGGTAAACCTCCCCACTCTGGTGACTAACAACGGAGCAAACGTAAAATCGATGCTGAGGTCATCATGCCTTGTGACAGGAAGCCCACTTTTCAATTCAGGTGGGAAAGTGCGACACGTTTTCCACTTAACACCAATGCCAAGAACAAGAATTTAACCGAAAGCTGAGAAGTTTGGGGGTAATAGATGGTAATCAATGAAATATCCCCCCTTCTGCCATTAATGACCTCCCGTGAGAGACACTTAAACAGACGTCGCCGTGTTTATCGCTGTGGCGCAGTCACAAAGGCAAATCCTCTAAGCTTTATCTTTAAAGTGGCAGAAAACACTGGGTGCTTCCAGAAAGGTCTTTTTTCTTCTTTACTGGGCGAGTTTTGAATGTGTTTCTCCATATCCCCAAGGCAGGCCTCTCCGAGACTTAAACGAGATTTCTTGCAAACAGCAAGGATTAACTGCTCCCTCAAAAAAAATCATTTTCGTTCAGTAAACAAATATGCAAATGAGCTGGGGGGGGGTCCTGCAGGCTCGTGATTGGCTGACGGGAGATCGAGATTCCAGAGCAATCCAGTTGAATGCTAATTCTTGAAGCTCTATTACACCTCTTTGACGTCTGTAGCCTTGGACGTTT